GCTCCCGAAGAGCGCCACACCCGAGGGTTAGCTACTACAATCTTTTGAAAGACAATAAAAATTAAACCTCTGTTTAGCAGTATTATCTCGTGACCTTATCAAAAGTTTCTCTTGTCCATTTTCCTCTTCCTCCTATTTTTCCTAATCAACTGCCAGAAAATTTCCAACCGAGTGCAACTCATTTTCAACGCAATCCAAACCAACAATCAATGCGAAGTGTGGCTGTAGAAGAAGTGCTATGAGTCAAAACCCAATTTCTATGAAGAACTCGTTTCTTTTTCACGCTCTTTCAAGTCTGGAAAAAAGCGAACTTCTTCTTCGTATTTTAATTTCTAAAAACCTGCTTACACAATCCGACTTTTCGGAATTGAAACTCATTGAAAATAATCACCCAAGAATCTTCACCGCCCTATATAATCTTATTCTCTCAACTCTTGAAGGGCCAGAGGAGTATGCGGCATACTGTATGCCCCGATAATCCCTTTATTTTCAAGATCCTCAAAACCCATCTTTAACTTGTTTCGCAAGAAAAAGTCATCTCTTGAAGCCTACCTTAAAGTTCCCCAACCCTTTGTACGAACAAACTATCTCGATTTAACACAAAGAGGAGGAGAAACAGTATCAGCGTTACCCTTACCAGAGCAGCAAGAATCAGCTGATAGCATTTCTAGTGAGGAGAGTTTTCCTACTGTAATTGGCAATAAGTAATTATTGCCAATAACTTATTGCCAGGAGCCATCGGCAAATAGAGGAAGAATTGACTCATTTTATGGCTCCTAAAAAAGAAAACCTCCTCCAACCCCCACGAAAAATCAATCAGTTACTTCTTACACGCAATTTTTAATTATATTCAACTTTAGATAAAATTATTATTTTTTGCATTTTCTCTTACACATTTCAGTTAAAACCGACAAATAAAATGAATTCGCCCGCCTGCCCCAATGGAGCCTGGGTGAGGCTTATAACTCACACCTTAAAAGACCAACAAAAAAGAAGATCAACTCTTATACTGTTAACACCCATTGCGGATGGAATAGCCGAAGTCCTCCGAATTCTTCTTGAATATAAGAAAAAATTCAAGAGCAAGCTAACAGTAATAAGGACAGACACTCACCTTATTAATCTTCCCAACTTCGTAAACCTTATTAACAATAAGTCAATGACCATAAACTTCGATATCCCATTCAACATGTTAAAAAGTGACCTGCCGAAAGTTAAAAAAGGGTACACTTCAAATGCAATTAAGCTCAAATTAACCGGAAATCCACCATCTTGTCCTAGTTGCCTAAAATTATTCCCCACTCATGTCCAACTTTGCCACTGCAACTACTCACCTACAGTCGGAGAAAACGAAAATTTTTCCCTAGGAATTGACATTAGAGCGCCGCGACCTTTTTTGTATTATCTAACCTTACAAGAGCAAGGTCCGAAAATCTGGCGGAGTAATTTTAAAGGAAGACAACAATGAAACCCGCAAAAGGTTTTTATCTTAAAAAAAGGTGAAACCTTTAAGGGTCCCCTAAAGGCAATATACTGTTAACGCAGAATTACGATTCTGAAAAAACGACAAGCCCGCGATGGATAAAAAGCATGAAAAATTGGGAAAGAAATGCAAAAATTCAAGAAAAAAAAGAATTTTAAAAAATTTCAAATAATTTAACTGTACCTCTTATATAAATTTGTTATTGTCATTTCTTTCAAGTGAAAAAGGAACAACAAGAAAAAATTGAAAAAAAAAAGAGGTGAAAAGATGCATTTAAGCACTATAACTGGAAGACCTGAGCGGTTGGTATGAGCTGGCCCTGAGGGTGGAGAGGAGTGCTGGTTGCGGGCTAGGAGCCCGCTTATATACGAGGCTGCACAGCGCCCCACACCACTCCTCCCCCCTAAGGTTTTTATGTTTATTGAATGAAATTTGAAGTACAGAATAATAATTTTCAGTAAACATAAAATAATGGATCTTAAAATTAATCTTCTAAATATTTATAAGAGGAGTATAAAAGAACTCAAAATTTAAGGAAATAAGGAGAAATTTAGAAAGGGAATACATAAGAAAGAATACGCGGTGAGTGCAGAAAAAGAGAGAGAATCTTTTGATGAGAAACAGTAACGCGCGTAAGAGTGATAACAGTAAATGAGCGCGCCGGCGCTCACACGCGCACAAAGAGCAAGAATAAATGAGAAAAGGTATTTTAATAAATTTGAAACTAACATAAGTAAAAACTAAACCGGCTTAATTGCCTAGCTCCGCCTGACGGATGAGCTTTATGAGAAGGTCCCTTCCGAACGAACGTTCAGGACTCAATAGTCCAGGGAAATCTGATCATTTAAATAAATATTTAAAAGATTATTAGAAGAAACAAGCAAGATGGGAAGAAATAAGGAAAATCTATACAAAGCAAAAATCATTGTTCGTAGTTGATATTTTTGTAATTTTTTGAATACTTTGTAATTTTTTTTTGTTTTTGAGAACCGAATCGTAAAAAAAATTACAGGTTCTTTTTTTTCAGTTCGCAAGAAAGCACGTCGTTGTCCAAGTTGATTCGTTTTGAAATACTGTTTTTATTGCCTCTCCATTAAACAAAGTTGCAAATCATCATAATCCAATGTTTTCCAAAGTGACAAAACAATTATATTAGGTGACGGGCAAAGTTCCGGCCAAATTGTTCGCAGTCACCACGAGTTTTTTTCTTTTGTTCGTTTTTTTTCAGCCCGATATCTTCTGCTTTTATCAAGAACTTGTAGAATCGTTCTCTCGGCAGCGTGAAGTCAAGTCTTCATCCAGTGTAGAAACTTTTCTTCACCTTTGATATCGTTTAATTCGGACGTCCTCTCCATGCTGTCGACCTACCGAAGTCCACTATGTTGGCACTTTTCGGGTTTATCAAGGCCTGAGAAGTTTTCCACGTCTTCTCCTTGCCATAAGATCACAAAGACCATCATCAAATATCGTCGTCAACAAAGTGACCAAAAACTTTTTCTAGTTATATCGTCTGGAAGGCAATTATTTCGATTCGATCCACGAATAAAGACGAATATCACTCTTCAGGATTTAATCATCGTCCAACCAAAGAAATAACTATGTTGATCTTATCTTTCGCTATTTCAAATGACACCAGCATGTCCACAAACTCGTCTTTTCTCCATTGTCTCATAATTTATCGCTTCTTCGTCCATTTTTATTTTTCGCTAGCCTCAGTAATCTCATAAGTTATCCAGACTTCATTGTCCATTGCCATATTTTTATCGTTAAGGAATCAGCATTCAGGACAAACAACTTTCTTAATTTGATAGGGTTTTAGTAAAGCTTGCATTTTAAAAACTGTTGATGAGGGAGAATCCATAATCGTCGATAAGAATTTATGAGAACCTAATTGCGTCAATAGATGAGTTGCATCGCTGATGGGAACCAAGTGACGTAAAGGTCTTGTTGTCCCTGGGAACTGATAAGTGAATCATTGACGTCATTGGTTGAATCGGCTATCGGTCTTGAGAACTGATGTCTGTGATTGTTACCGTCATCAGTATCTCACGATTCTTTTCCAAATTCCAAAGCAAATTTATAACCAAATCAATAAACCAAATAATTTTAAATTTCCAATAATAAGCAAGTCCAAACAAAGGCTTGATCCAGAAAGGTAAATAGATCCAATTATTATTTTAATCAAAAATTTGAGATTGTTGCCGTATAAATTCTCCATAAAAGTTCAAATCGAATTGTTTGTCAAAATAAAATACCACAATGTTTTAAACGTAGAGCAAAGCAATTCCGAATCGTAAAGCAGCGTCGAATCGTTGAAAAACAGCAAAGCATCAAGATAGAATTATCATCGTTTTTCTCTTCTAAAAATACTTCTGTGATTATCTACTCAAACGTTAAAAATTCTTCTTCAAATAATCCTTTTCTATGAAAATACCCTTAAAAGTTACTCATGGGCCCTGGACAATGATGAACCCATTTTAGGACCAAAAGGTTCGTAGATTTCTTCATCTTACATGGATAGACTGCAATTATAAAAGCGATAACAGAAAATATGAGAATTTAAAAGATTAGATATTCAAAAGTAGATACTTCCTTTGCCGAGAATTTGTCCCTGTTACTGTAAACACCAATCAAAACTCACAAAACACAGGAAAAAGACAGTCCTTTCAAATATTGAAAAGATTTCTCCAGGCACCAGATACAAGTAGTTTTTGTGCACTTGAAGCTATATCGGCGCTAGAAAGCCTTTCTCTTTATAAGGAGCGGCTTCTAGATAATAGTTTGACTATTGAAAGGCTAAGAAATCTCGAGTCAGCCATCTGCCTTCTCGACTCATACCCTACAGCAAACAACCATAGGTAACGAGCTTGTTAACCCAATAAAAATGGCAACGCTTCTAAACTTCCCGCCTTTTAACCGGGTTCTGCAGGGAAGATACAGTGCAACACAGTTATACTCCAAACTGCGAAGCAATCCGGCCCAAATAAAAAAATTAGAAAGCGCACTTAACACAAGCAATTTATCCATTTTCCAGGGTCCACCTAGCAAAGTTAAATGCGATATGCGCAAGAAAAAACGTTAACTTCATTCTCACGTTGAGAAACAATGCAAAAAAGCAAAATTCCTCAGTGATATGCGAACGCATTTCTTGTTTACTCTCTTCCCACTGTTCTGTTACCCATATTCCCTCTCCAAAAATGTCCTATCCTTTTATGTAAAAACTCCTCTTTTCCTTTAGGGGGAAAAATGAAAGCCATTTCGAAGCGTCTAAACACACAAGTTCAAAAACTGACAGAGTTTTATATTAGAGATTTAACAAAATGTCGCTTAAAAAGTTTTAAAAAGATCCCTTCTCGGGTCTTCCGGAACATAAAAAGACAGAAAAGAAAGATCAGTTAGAAAGCAGGCAGAGACCGCACTTCTTGTAAGTGCGAGACCCTGGCGCAAAAACAGAATAAAAAAGAGCCGCTGCTCTAACCCAATTCACCGTCCACTACCGTTTGACAGATCAGGCTCATTAAAAATGGTCCAGACTGTCGCCGCGTCGGAGATCGGCTTGTAATATCCCATCTCCTCCGTTTTCTGAGGCGAAGGTGAAATAACTGCTATCTTTGACTTCAGCTTCAAAGTCTTCAGACCTCTCCTCTTTGCCAAAGTCATCGCCATAGGTGTTCGCTCGTACTTGATTACCACCAAAGCCCATGGGATGTTCATGGCGTAGTCGTCCAAGTATCGAAAGACCATGCTGGATATTTTTCTTGGGGGGAAAGCTTAGATTACCTCTTTGTGCCTCAATTTTGTGAATCGGAAGAAGTCCGATGCCCATGCTTGATCGTCGTGAAATCGGGAGATGTATCTTTCCGTTCGAGCATTTTCTTTCGTTGCGAACGCATCCAATGTGAATTTCTGCGGCCACGCCCGTGATATTTCATCGAAAGCCTCGTCCGTGATCTCTTTTCCATTGAAATCGAAGGTCCTGGACGGTTCGTCCGCTAGTTGCTCTTTCGTGTTCACATAATCTACCCGGAGATCAATATTGTGTAGCTCCGCTGCCTCGTGAATACGGAACACCATCTCGTTAAGTCTTCCTGTCCGCGAGCCGTGATACAAAGCGCTGCAAACCACCTGGTTATCATGTTTAATCAGGACCCTCCTGTTTTTCAGAAGCGATCCTTTGCGCTGGAGTAAAACCAAGATGGCATAAGCTTCTTTCATAAAGATTTCTTCGTTTTCAAAGCCCCTTGGCCAGTAAAAGGGTTCTTTTGCGCCCAAGTTTTCCACACAGAGACCTCCAACTCCTCCGGAGCCGTCTGTGTAAACCAGAAGTCTCTCTTTAAGATCCTCTTCTCTGAAGATCTCTTTCTTAAGGGACCACCCGCAGCGAACTCGCGCCGCTTTTCACGAGCGCAGAACTTTTTCTTTCCTTCTTCAAATTTAATGAAAATCTCAGATCTAGGGTTATTTTTTTTCCTCTTACGTCTCCGTTTGATTTTTTTTCATATCATAATTTTTGAATTCAGGAGGGAGAAAAAGTGACGCTCAACTTCAAAAGGAATCAGCTCCTAAAATACTTGTCACTCAAAGTTATAAATACCCTCATCAAAAAGCGCATTGAATTTTGACCAGGTCGAAGTTCGCGTTGTCATTTAATTTAGCTTATATCCGGTCATAATGAGGGGATAAGTGCAGTAAGACGGTGTGAAGCCGGTGTCGCGCAGCGGGGAGCGCGCTAGGGTTCGCACCCAAATAATTTTAAAATTTTAAAATGCTTAACAAATAACCATTTTTAGTGTCCCCCTAATTCATTCCCCTGATTTCAAATCTGAAATCAGAATTTAAAAATCTTTACTAGAACCCGAGTTCTAGAGTCGTGAAAATGGCGAAAAATCGCCGGTGTGCGCGGCGCGCCGCGAGGGATGGGTGGCGCTCGTGTGCTGAATTGCCGCCGCTCGCCCAGATCTTGGCTCAAGTAACTTTTTTTCAAACTTCGAGAGGATGATGGAATCAAATTAAAGAAGACATTCACAAAAGATCTTACTTGTTCTGATGCAGGAACCGTCTCTTATCAGTGATTCATCTCTTATCAGTGATCAACTCAGCGGGGTACCAATCATCTACCCTTTTCATGAAACTTCTATAGGATGAGAGAATGGATGAAAGGAAGACATGCACAATAGATCTTGGACGTTCAGACGCAGGAACCCTTTCTTATCAGTGATATATCTCTTATCAGTCATCAGCCCTGCAGGGCACAAATCATTGACCCTGATCATAAAACTTCTAGAGGATGAACAAATAGAGGTACGGATGACACTCACAAAAGACCATACTCATTCAGACGCAGAAATCCTTTTTTATCAGTGATACATCTCTTATAACTGGCAGGCCCAGTTCATTTCGGATGATAGAATGAATAAAATGAATAAGTTAACAAAAGATAAAGCGCAATCAAAAATTCTTCATTTTTTGAAAAAAACCATGTCTCAATCCATTTGTCTTTTTAATTCAAATTTTAATTTCATTTTCAAGCAAAAATTTCAGTTTTCTTTTTTTGAATGATGTTTCTGTTCTTGCTCTCTGTAGTCTTTCTTCAATCGCTTGCTGTTTTTTTTCACGTATTTCCAGCGTTCGTCGTCTTCTGTTCTTTCTTGCTTTCAGAATGTTGTCATTTCGCTCATTCGATGATAAGTCCCACATCCACTCGAATGTTCTATTGGTTCTCGCAATAATAACATTGTTTATTTGATTTGCATCAACGTTTTGGAGTTTTTTTGGTGATATTTCAATTCTCCAAAGCATCTTAATTAAGAATAAATTATTTATTAAGAAAAAATGCATACGATTCAAGACGATGATTTGAAATTGTCAAAAGTTCATCTTCTCGGAATTTACATTTCTTGAACAGCTCGAAATCCTTCTTTATCTTCTGGCGAACTCCAAGAAGCATATTTTTCGTCATAATATTCACATTTTTCTTAAGGCCAGCGAAACTCTCGCCCATCAAGATCCCTTTGACACATTTCTTTTCCAAAAACTCGTATGCAGTTTTCTGGTTTGCTTCCATCTTTTCATTTTTTGTCGAAGCAAAGAGCCGCATGAAGGTGTTCTCTGGCTGTCTAAGCGGCCTGTCGATGGCGGCAATAGCCCGAGTGAAACAGTCCTTAATTCAATTAATAAACGCAGCTTTATCTAAGAAATACCTTTGCTTTTCCGTACCGGATGCCCCCCTTTTTCTCGGCAAGAATTGTAGAAAGGCAATGCGATCCCGACGTACAGCATTATAAGCACTGCGCATTCCAACAAAATCAAACGCCATCCTTCGCCATTAAGTGCTTTTTTGACTTCGACAAACCGGCCAGAATCCTTTCCATAGGCAAGAATGTCGAACAAATACTTGACATCGTCATATATGATATATCATATATCTCAAACAGTGAGACAGCATTCTTGAACGTAGCCTAAAGATATTGATTACTAAAGAGTTGCAGATAAAACAATGATTTTTCAAATTCAACTTTCCTCAAATCGATTTCCATACGGATGGAAAAATCGCTTGTTTGTTGATATGTTGGCTTCCTTCAGTACCGCTTTGAGCTCGGTTTGTGAATCGTCGAAATGGAATGACGGACTTCCAGCACGATGACCCAAAATTTGCGCCAAAAGGAAGAGAAGATTCGTTGTCTTACTACTCAAATACTTGAGACAGTATCTTTCTGACAGGAAATTTGCTTAAATTTTGTAGGGTTATCTCGACTATAAAATATTAAGATTTCCATACCAACAGTATTCAGAGTACAAGAAATTGTCGGAATATCTCGCCCCCAACGTTCCGCGAGAAGAGCATTGAGTTGAGGGGATCCACCACCCATATCTATTGCTCACGTCAGCATATCAAGACTTTCTTAAATATACCTGACAAAAATGCATGCACTTTGCTCTTAAGGACATCTCCGAAAATAAGTTGGTCACTGTCTAAAACGCCACAAATATGATCCGCCATTTGCACATGAGTCGACATGTTATTGTCTCTTAGACTCAACAGGTGAAATCTTTGTTCTTCATCGATCAATGCTATTCTTTAAGGCCGTATATACTTAATTTTTTATGCTTTTTCCCAAAGCCTTTCTGGTGGTTCGCAAGCGATACTGAATCTGAGGCCATGAAGACTTTCTTTGCGCGTCGAACGAAGAACTCGGAATATTTAGTATTAAGTTCTAAAATTTTTAAAATTGCAATATGGTGACCAGGTCACCTGAAAAGTAAAATTCCATGCAAAAACTTGTCCTCAAATCGTGACATACACAAGAAATGATTGTTAATTTTTTCATACGAGCCCCATTTATATCCTTGATTCGTGTTTGTATTTCTATTCTACATAACATAAGACAAGTTTAGCGACTAAATTTAGCAATTTCATCGTCAGCATTCACGTGATATTTATGATGGACGACAAACATGAAAATCGCCTCTACCAAGACAAAAATCCCTGATAAGAGTATGTTCCTGCATCTCAAATCAGCTGATTTTTTGTACAGAGCTTTCATTCGATGCTTTAAACATCCTCTATAAGTTTCATGACAAGGGTCGATAGATGGCGCCCTGCTGTGCTGAGACCCCCACTGATAAAGCTCGAATCCCTGATAAGAGTATGTTCCTGCATCTCAAATCAGCCGATTTTTGTACGGAGCTTTCATTCGATGCTTTAAACATCCTCTATAAGTTTCATGACAAGGGTCGATAGATGGCGCCCTGCTGTGCTGAGACCCCCACTGATAAGGCTCGAATCCCTGATAAGAGTATGTTCCTGCATCTCAAATCAGCTGATTTTTTGTACTGAGCTTTAATTTATTGATTTTGATATCCTCTAGAAGTTTCATGACCAGGGTCGATAGATGGCGCCCTGCAGAGCTTTAAATCCCCCTGCACTGATAAGGATTGTATCGCTGATATGAATATGTTCCTGCATCTGAAATAAGGTGATTTTTTGTAAAGAGCTTTTTAACAATGATTTGATTATCCTTTAGGAGTTTCATGTCCAGGGTCGTATGTTGGCACCCTGCTGAGCATCTGCTGATAAGATTTTTATCACTGATAAGAATTTTTCTCTAGAATTTTTATCAGTGTGTATTTTTCGTTTTTGAGTTTTATTAAGTTAACAGTTGGATTTTATTCTCGACATCATTGATAATGTCAATCCATCTTCAAATTTCAAATTTCGCGCACTTTTTGATGATCCGGATTCATATTTTCAAGAGCCACGGCGCCCAGGAGTACCAACCGATTTTAAACAAACTTTCACAGATTGTTCGTAATGGCATTTTCTACAATATATCGAGTACTAGTTAGTGCCGCTTCACTAAAAATGTGCCTAAAGACGAATCAAAAATTTTTTTGGTAAAAAGGGTTGAAAAAAATTTTTATATTTTTAAAGAATTTAAACTTCTTCTAAATGCCAATATTACTATTGTAAATTTTAATATCAACGAGTTTTAAGAAGCTTGAAAATCAAAAAATTATTTGCGTGCGAACCCTAATAGCTGAGGTGGAGTTTTGTCCAAAAATGAGCTTTATTTCGGGTAAAAATCGGTTTTTATCGGGGAGCTACGACTCGCCGGGATTTTCACGACTTGCCGGGACCTTGCATATTAAGTCACGGCCAGTCGTAGCTGTTCTAGAAACTCTGATATAAATATGCTTAATCATTCTAAAATAAGGGTTAGGGTAAAAATTTTACAAAATTTTGCTTTGCAAAACTGATACAAGTTTACTTGAAATATTTTTTCTTTTTAACATGTTACATATTTTATTGTTAAATTTGGTTTTTAACTGGGTGCTTAGTGGTTTGACAGTGAGATTGCCAATCCAGGGTGGAAGCACCGTGTAAATTTGTATTTGTGTGATTTTTCTATTTTAATGTTAGGGTTAGGGTTTTTAAACTGATTGAAAAAAATCAATAATCGGCGAATTTTCCATTTTTTAACTTCCGTATAGTTCTGTCATCTAGAGTTTCTAAAACATCAGCTATGACTCGCCGGGATTCTGCAAATTTAATCCCGGAAAGTCGTAGCTTGGCC